AGATAGATAATCAACGACACTTGAAGGTAGCTTGTATTGATGAATTTTATCATTCTACAGGTAAATACAATCCTTACCCCCCCCCCTCCCCGGTCCCGTTCCACTACCCATACTCCTTACCATCTCACTGAAAACAAAACGCGACCAAGCAAATTAAAAATAAAGGTGACAACAACAAAAGTGACAATAATTACATCAATGAAGCCAACACCACATTCACCAACAACAGTAACAACACGACAGATCGAAAATCAGAAACTAAGTGAATTAATAGAAAACAGCTGGCTGGTTGAACTTATAATGGGAAAAGTCACAATTGATTGTGTTTAGGAAACTAGCATTTCTGACTTTAGGTGCATTTGATGCTTTTTTCTTCCCACATTTTCTTTGATTCGCGCCTTTTGTTGTTGTTGTTTGTTCGTTTGTTTGTTCTTTTACAGAACAACTCTGTAGCTGTTCTTCAATGTAAAAGCAATAGAGGATTTGAAATCAAAAGGTCAGCTAATCAATTGCGTTAAATGTCACCTTCTCACGATCTCAATTTTTCAGAAAAAAAACAAGCATTTATTACTGTGTGATAAACCTTTCGGCCATTTCTCCAATTGTAGTTCACTATAATGAATCGTAGAGCTCTGCCTTTGACAATTTGACAATAGTAAAGGAGTATTATTATTTTCTTTAAGGTCTCGTGGTCTGCTGGCCTGGAGCTGTGTAAGGAAATGTTTCGATCTCACGGCTTGGTCTTTGTTTTAGCAAGTGTTTTATGGCACTTGTAACACGATAAGGTCATATAAGTGCGAAGATTAGACGTGTTACAAGGGAGTAACAAACACAAAAAAGAAGGAGGGGAGATAGATCTAGAAGACGATAGATGCTCGGCTTGGTCTGAAATTTGCCGAACTGAAGATGTGGACAATAACTTTGATCAAACACACGCCACTGATAATAATTATTAGTTGGAAAAGAATATGTCACAAAAGTCTGTTTATTTATGTCACTTATCAAGAACTGTTCTTTCTAAAACTTTGTTCACCATTTCATTGATTTGTTCATGCTTTTTTTTCTTCCGTTTTCATGTATTTATTATCCATAGACCATTCACTTATTTGTTTTTTAATTCATTCTTTCATTCATTCATTTTTTCATTTATTCATTTTTCCCTTTTCACTTATTTGTTTTCCATAGACCATTCACTTGGTTTTTTAAAATTCATTCTTTCATTCATTCATTCTTTCGTTTATTTATTCTTCCATCGTTCCTCCCACTGATTACATTGCTCGTGACTACTGTAGCTGCCAATTGATCTGTCCTTTCCTTCATCCATCCATCCATCCATCCATCCATCCATCCATCCATCCATCCATCCATCCAT